ATTTTGGTGGTGGTGGTTCGGTTTTCGCCGCGGAGTTTGAGGCTGGGGGCTTAGACAGAGTCCCCCTCTCTCTGTCCCCAGGACCCCTGGGGGTGGGAAGGGGACGGGGTGGGGGAAAGGGCTGCCCCGGCCCGGTAGTTCGGTGGGGGAAGGTGGATGAAGGCGGCTCCGAGCGGGCGGGGATGGAGCCCGGTATCGCACCCGGCATCCAGCCCCCCTCGGAGCTCCCCCCGACTGGGGAATGAAGGTGGTGGTGGGGGAAAGATGGGGCTGAGCCTTTTTTAGGGGAGCCCCGGTGCTTCGTGCCTATGGAGGTGATGGGTGGGGAGGGGAGAGGGGTGCCCCAAACCCCGCTGGATCGGGGGGCTGGATTTGGGGGGTGTGGGTTCGAGGAGGGGGGAGATCTGTTGCAGCTCCCGGGAGCTTAAAAAGAGGGGTTTTTTTTCGGGGAGGACGAAAAAAAGGGTGTCTTGTTGCTGGAGAGTTTTAAACACGGGAACGGGTGGGGGTGGAGGAAGGACCCGGAGGGAAGTCATTCCCAAAATGTGCGAGGAGAGCTTGGGTGGGGTGGCATGGGCTTGTTTATTTCGTACTTCTTGAGAGGAGACGGGAAGGGAAGGGGTAAATGCTGGTGTATCTGTGCCTGCGATCTTTTGGGTTTTTTTTTTTGGGAGAACAGCGTGTTTGACCCCAGGAGCGGCCGGAGGAGTCGGCAGGGAATGCCGCTGGGCTGTTTGCTGGGCTTCGGGGTTAAAACAAACCAAGAGGCGAGTGGTTTTTAGGCACAAAATACACATGCGAGACAGACCGAGCCGAGTTCTTCCACCTCCCTTTTGGCTGATGGGTGGTTGGTTGGTGTTTTTTTTCTTTCCTTAGTTGTTCTAAGAGCGTCTCTTGGTATGTTTGCAGAACACTTCTCCGGAAAGCATTTTTTTTTTTTTTTTTCTTTTGCGATAGGTCTGAAAAAGCCTTGGTGGTGTGTGCTGTTTTTCCCAGTCCCTTCGTGTTAGGGACAAAAAAAAAAAAATTAAAAAATGCCCTTTTATTTTTTTTTGGGTGTGGGGAGAGAAGAAGGAAGAGGAAATGAAAACTGTAAGCATGTTTGTCTGGGGAGTCGGGTATATCTCAATTTGTTCTCCTGCTCGAGTAACGCTGGGAGTACAGATAAGTGGCTTTTAAGTACAGAATGTATATGGGCAAAAGCTGAAAAGATTTAAAGTTTGTAGGGAGGAAAGCGTTAAGCTGATGGCCAGGGCAGGCGTTTGAGAGCAGATCTGATAGACGCTCCCTACGTGCCCCTGCTTCAAACTAATGAGGATGGAGGAAAAGGAAACTGGTGGGGGGAAGAAAAAAAAAAAAACAAAACCAACAATAATTTGCATGAATTATGCCATGTAAAATGTATCGGAGAGAGGGATTGTGCTCTGCAGACGATTTGTGGGCTGGCAGAGCCCTGAAGTGCCTGCTCGCGTCCCGTGATATGACTAGCTCATTTCTGCAGGGCTCATCAGGTACAGACTCTGCTTCCTTCCTGGGATGGTGCAGCTGGCATTTGATTTCCTCCATGGATGGGAGAGGAGGAGTCCTGTGCAGTTTTTTTTCCCCGAGATGATTGCATTTTCTTTGGCCTTGCTGTACCCTGCCTCATTAGTAGGAACTGCATCTATATTTATTTACCATTATACCGTGTCCCTTGGGATGGCGGGTGTAGTTTGGAGTAGGTATATATGGATTTATCACTCATAACATTTTTTTTCCTCCCGTCATGCTAGGGCCAAATCCGTCAACAGCAGAGAACAAACTTAATTTATTTCTGTGTTTTGCATCTCTCTTTTTGCCATTTCTCTTCCAAATTGCTAAAGAAACAGCTCCGAGATGCGGATGGGGGAGGGAAGTAGGGGAGAAGTGCGAAAGGGCTGGAATATGTTATCTGTGCAGGGATGTGTTTGTTATCTGCATGTTCTGGGAGCACAGGGCTCTGTGAAACAGCAGGGATTGATGCTGCATCTGAGAACCGGGCTTCGCTAAAGCTCTTTTCTTTTCCCTTCTGGGATGATTCTTCTTTAGCCCCACGACAGTCACAACTTTTTTTTTCTGGGTGGTTGAGAGAGAGAATTGCCTGACGAGCCTGGGCATGAGAACTAGGAACAAGGAACTTGGTGTTTTGCTCAGCGATGTCTCTTCTTCCTCCTCTCGTTCCTTGAGCACCAGAAACAGGCATCAGCATTTTTCCTCCTGTGTCATCCAACTCTGCTCAGAGCAGGTCTAGACGACATTGTGGTATGCAGGCTGCCAGCTGTGCTACAGGAATGCTACCACAGGTGAAACTGCAGGATTTTTAATGAGTGGTAAGGAAATCTTGGAAGAAAATCCTGTGTGGATGAGGCCTGCTTATCTCTCTCCTAACTACTTTACTGAGCGGTCTTGAGCAATTCCTTTCTATTTGTTGACCTTTCTAGAAAAACGTGTGTCTCTCTAGCATAGCGTTTCTGATAATTCAACAAATTTAGTAACCAGTGTCAGCTGCAGAAAGCTGACTTCTAAGGCAGTTTTCTGTGTGGGTCTTACTGGTCTCTTTCAAAAGGATATTACAAGTTCATGCCTGGCCAGTGTTTTGAAAATGAAATGATTATGAAATGTTTACTTTATGGTGATAATCCGTAAGTTTCTGGAAGTGTTTGATACGTTTTTTTCATTGGTATCTGGAGCTGGGAAAACAGTGAGATTCTGCCATTGACTTTCAAAACTGTTTTTATTTTATTTTCAATGACTTTTTAATAAGCATGGATTTCAGGAATTGTTCTGTTGTTAACTTTTGGGACTGCTCTGTTTTTTTGTTGGATGTCAGTGGGGCAGTGGTGAAATTTGGGTCTTTAGGATATGATGTTTGGGAGAGGAATGGGAAGAATTAATGAAACTGAAACACAAGCCAGGAAGAGTGCTGTGCTGTCCCTTTCATAAAGGGATCTCCGATGGTGTTTGGTTGTATAGCTTAGAAAATAAACCATTTTTCATGAAATGATGGCACGTTTTAATCTAAAGAAAGCAACTTGTGCTTTACGGTGATTTCTGTGCAGAGCTTTTAGGGATACTATAGAATTCCAAGTTACAGCTTTGGGATCTGTGGCAAATATTTTTCATTTTCTGCTAAGTTTAGGATTTGAAATCAAAACACTTGAAGGGATGCTGTCAGTTTCAGAATCCTGCTGCAAAAAAAAACCCAAACATGCCTTCGTTTCTCCTACCCATAACTTTATGCAGCTTTGACACTTCTTCTAAAGTCATTGAAGTCGATTTCACTTTATACTGATTTTAATGGAACAGGCATTGGATCCGCATGCGCATCCCCGTGGGATTGGGCTTTAATTATACCTATGCTGATAATATTATCTTGTGGGTTATCAATGAAGTGAGACCAATGCCGTGATTATAGTGGGATTTTTAGGAGATAATGAGAAGAATTTGAATTGTTGGAGGGTCTAAGTTATATCCCTAAAGCTGTTTTTATATGCAAGATTACTAATAAACTGTATTTTAGCATTCTAATATTCCTGCATTGGCTAAAGCTCCCTTCTGACATGTATAAAATTAGGATGGCTGGGTAGCAAAGTATATTAAGAGATCATATTTGAACACTCAGTCATGCAAACGGATTGCATGTTCCCTATGAATACAATTTCCAGTCTTAATGCTAAAGATAAGTGTTTTGACAAATGCTTTTAATTTGGGGAACAATACAAGCAAGAATAACAGGATATGAAAAGAAAGAGCTATTTTTCATTTCACAGGTGGCAAACCAAGGGGCAGAGGGATTAACTCGCCCGGGCTCCTACACGGACTCTGCGGCAGAACCTAGTAATCAGTTCCTGATCTCAAGGGTTTGTCAGGGCTTTGATTAATCAGAGTTTTTCTGCCTCTCCTCATTAATTGGCTAACTTCCACATTTAAAAAAATGACGCCTAGAGATTCTTTTTCTTTCTTCCAGTTTCAAACTTTATATGTAGCTCTAAGTTGGTTTTTTTTTGATTTTCAGTCAAGCCTTGAAAGCTTCGTCTGAGCAGCACCTCCCTGACATATGATACTATCTCAAAACAGCCTCTGACAAGTGAACCCTCTCATTGAAATCATGTGAGGAATTTTATTACTCAACTCTGAAGATCTTCTGGGGGAAAGGAGGTTGCAAACTATTAACTATGTGGTCTTCATTGCAAGTTGGCACATAAAATGTTCTTATGTATCGAGGCAGTCATGTGGCCCGCAGCAAGAAGTGGAGAATGGGCTTTGTAGTCGCTGGCCAACTGAGAATTTCATCTTGCAACTGGGAGAAACACACTTATTTTTGTGTTGTGGCTCCTAAAAAGAGATATATTTGCTTGAAATCTGGTTTTTCTTTAAACGTGGTAGTGTTTGGTTTCCTTCCTCTCTCCTCCCCTCGGCTGGGCGCTTGTACAGGGGGTAGCCTGGGACCACAGAACCATGTGGAGGAGCTTTTAGGGTAGATAACCTTAAAGAGTGTGTTGTGTTTGGGGTGCTTCTGTCCTTTGCTGTTGCAGCTGGGTTTCCCCACGAGCTGGTTGCTGGTGCCGTTGCCCCGCGCGATACGCTGCTGAGCAAAGTGCTCCTTTCACAGTTATGAAACTGCTGCTATCGCAATTACTGCGTTGTAAAGCTTAAACCTAATCAGGAGGGATCGATTTATGGCCACAGCTTGTGTGGTCCTGGTGGCGTACGGCTCCGTCCTCTCACGTTTGATTCACTGTGGCCGAGCCACCGTCCTTCTCCTTTACTACTCTTATGATAAAGGAATACTTTGTACCTTCCTTTGTAAACTTTTAAGTGCTTTACTCACGTCTGGGTAAAAGGAATACTTTGTACCTTCCTTTGTAAACCTTTAAGTGCTTTACTCACGTCTCTGGGTGTTTTACAAATAGAGAAACTGAGGCACGAGGGCCAAGGGACTCGCTCAAGGTCAGTGGCAATTGAACGTGACTGTGTCTGTTCCCCGTCTATCGCGCTTTTAAATCTGTCATAAATTCCTTGTATGGTTAATATGTATTAATATATTGGCTGGTTGTCTAAGAATACCTAAGTCAATAAGAATTTTTTTTACAGCGATGGGAGGATTTCCCAGGTTCCACTGACTTCTGTGGTTTGACACTTGTCATCTTTACTTATTCAGTTATTTTTATGGCTTTTAATCCATTGGATTCCCCCACCCCCTCCCAAAAGCACTACTGGGGTAAATTGTCTCACCAAACTGTAAGAGATATCCGTATTTTCTTGCATGGCTTTTCTTCTGCTTCGTTTAAGAGGAGTTTTTCAGTGTTGGACTTCAAATCTATCTCAGGAATGCACACGCGCGTTTGGTACTTGTTTTGATTCAGAGCCGTGTTCATGCAGACACCAAAAGGTTGAACAATTACTGTTTCGATGCGCTTTTTTAAAGAATATAAAAAGAAACTAAATCTATAACTGGTTATTCTACCTGTCTGCGTGCAGATTTCCCTTTCCTAGTTCTTAATCAAAGCCGCAGGCGGAGTCTGAAGTTAGAGACTGCTCTTAAAACTGGGAGCTGCTGTAGCGTGGTGCTTCTGACAGTGGATTCTGCTTTATCTTTCCTGTGCAGCCAACCAGAAGGTGTGGAAGGTCAGTTAACTCTTTCTCTTACCCAGTTCCTTTACGAATGTTTACTTCGTTGGTTTCGGTGCAATTACTAGCCTGAAACCTATTACTGAGCATGGCCCTTCCTCAGGTTGTGTGTGTGTGTGTATGTATACACCAAAAAGACCTAACTTTGTGTGTACGACCACTTGTGTTTGCAAGAACTTCTTCCCATCACCCGATGGGTGGAGTGATGGTTCCAGATCTACTGAAGAGTTTCTCGTAGCCAGAGGAAACACATTTTATTACCTGCTTCATGCCTAGAGGTTGGGACTCTTTTGTTCTCCATACATGTAAGATGTCTATTTAGGCTGGATTAAATTTACATGAATCCCATTTGCTGCTGTGGTGGTAGACAAGGTCTTAACATTGGGGTAAGGAAATAATCTACAAACCAGGTGTCCAAAATATATTAATTATGTTTGGGAATCTCACTTGCCCTGAATTCCTGGCATCTTTTTTCTCCTCATTTTCAGACTTCATATTTAAGGAACCTTCTTTTCTTTTCACTTCTTACAAATAAATAAATTATTGAACGTTAGGTTCAGCAGTAAACCAGCTCCTGCTACTGAAACAATACTTTCAGTGAGTGAACAGCCAGTTTTATTCTTCTGATAAGCCTATGCCCTATCAACTGGGAAGTGTAGCATATAGTCATTTCCTGCATTTTGAACTGCCCATTTCTTCTGAGCTCTGAAGCAAGCCCTGAATCTGCTTTTTGTTCTTCCAGTGGTACTGTAATACTAATGGAAGCAGAAAGCATTTAGTTAGTTCATAAAATACAAGCGCTGCTTCTACTGGGATATTTATTCTGACCTTTATTTTGGACAGTTTCTCTGCCATGATCAGA